AAATTTGGTCGCGACGGTTGTTTGCTGTTGTTGTCGCTTCTCTCTGAAATGGCTTCCTTTGCGGGAAGCCATGAAACTGAAGTCCCAACAAAAACATAATTTAGCCGTCCTTTTGGGCCCATTGCTCGCTTATTTATCATGAAATCGTTTCACTAGAACATTTTTAATAATGTCTATGGGAAACTTTGTAATTTTCTGAACTAAAAGTTTATGGTTTTGAGGTGTTTATTTTATAAAATAGCACGCACGACAAAATGGCACTAATGTGGTTTCTCATGTCTGACAAACAACCAAAGATGAAAGTCCTTATTTCACCCTTTTATAGCTATGTGGAATACCTGAATATTAGGTTATCTTTTTCATTTGAGCATACAGATAACATTTCTACACAATTAGTCCTTATGAAGGCTTATTTCAAACTAAAAAAAGCGATTGTTTTTTTAGAGCCAGACTTCAAAAGAAAACGCGTGTCTGACATTTTATAGCAGCCTACATTGGTGCGCAAAATAATTTTGGCTAAAAACCGTTTCTTTCCAAACAGAAACATGAGAAAATTGAGCTAAAAGGCTTACCTGATGTATGTTTAAAATGTTTTTCTCTTTATGGTGTTTTTCAGTGCTTTGAGTAGAGAAGTGAATAACTTTTGGTTTTGTCACCGCAATTTGCCTTTGAAAATGTCGGCTGTCATTGTCTGTGTTAAAAACACCTCAGAAAATTCGTATTTTCTCACCTTCCCATCCTTGGTTTATATTGAAAATAGTACCATATGTCCTTTTAAATATATTTGAGGTAATTAACCCTTTAACGCCTGGGACTAAACTAGAAGTATTAAAAATGGGAAAAGTATTGTATATGCGTAAATTCACCTTGATGAACAAATATGTGTTTTTCTCCGCCATAAGTAAGCTAGTTTAGGATATATTTTTTGTGCACATATGTTGACATCAGGAATTTATGGAATGAAAAACATAATTTTGTTAATGATCTTAGTATATTGAAAATCATATAATATTTACAAGAGAAATACAGAGAATGGTACAGTTATTCAGAAGTCATGTCATGGTAAACCAAAAAGCATGTTGTCCCTGTTACACACAGGTACACTTGGCACTTTGAGCACAAAAACCGCATTCTTCTGTTACAACCAGTGTTTTTACAACGTTGAGGCTTCTCAACTTGAAGGGGCCAGTGGTTACATTTGTCAAAACGTATATCCTTTGGCACTTGGCTGGCTTTCAGTGACCTTTGTACACGTACAACTGAGGTGGACTGACTGTCAGGATCATTTGGCTCTTCAACAGCGAGCAAACACCGGCATACATCGACAATGAAATCAAGAAAGGATCCGCTTCCACCAATCTCACGATACATCACAAATGCATTCACAGCAGCCAGAGATATAAGGTGGAATGCAATACAATGGTACCACTTTCTGCTTCGGTGCTTCGTGCGGTAAAGTGATAGGAACATGTCAGCTTTATCCACCCCGCCCATAAATTTATTGTACAATTCGACAGATGCCGGACGGGGCACAGAGACAGTCTCCTTCTTCTTCCTATCATATCGCTTGCAATTTGAGACAGGATGCTTTCCCAAGAAGTTTGAGATGGTTAACACCCTACGGTTGTCATACCATGCACAGATCACTAGACCAGCCTTTGAATCTGTAAATTCAGCAAGATCTCCCCGGCCATTTTTTCGCATATCTTTCTCCGCAGGCAGAGGGCAACCACAACTCCGGTCAGATCTGAGAGTGGCAACGGCAAGAATGCCTCGAGACATCAGATTAACTAAGAGCTTGGGACTGGAAAAATAATTATCAAAAAACAATTGATGCCTATTCTTCTCCAATTCCTTGGACAATCTCAGGACAACATTTTCACTTTCTCCAAACTCTTCAGGATTTACCCCAGGCGGTGGACCCTTTGCCTCTTGAGAACCAAGGATTTCAAAATCGTAGACATAACCAGACATGCCAGCTCGACACCAGAACTTGTAGCCCCATTTACATGGCTTCTTTGGCATGTACTGTTTGGCGCCATGCCTGCCCTTGAATGGCACCATCATTTCATTGATGCACTGCATGGTCTCTGCTGTAACCAACCCTTTGAAAACAGTTCTGAAATGGTCAATCAGTGGCTTCAGTTTGAATAACTTGTCATAATTTGGATTGGCAGGATCAGTAGCAACCTCTTGATTATTATTAAAGTGAAGAAAAGACAGGATTTCTTCAAATCGATTTCTATTCATGCTGCTTGCAATGAGTGGCACACATGTTGTGGTGGCGCAATAGATCCGACGATTAGGTAGCTTATGGATACCCATGTAGAGTATAATACCAAATACTTGTTCAATTTCATGTTTTGTCACGCTCTTTATTTGTTTGTAACTGGTATCCGAGTCTCTTCTCGTCACTGCTCATTTATAACCAAGTGTTGCATGCTGGGTATTGTATAAGTTTGTTTGAAATGTTATATGATCTAACAAATCTTTGGTGAGAAATTGCTTGAAAAATTTAAATGGTTGACAGAGATTGGAAAAGCTGCTGTCTGATGGTTTCATCTTTTCAACGGGAATGTTGGATGATCGTGGACGCTTCCATGGATTTGTTTTCCATGAGAATTTCTTACTCTAAAAGTGAGAAATGTGGCCTAATTTAATTAGCCTTTCTCACGCCGCTATTTTGGGTGGCATTTCAGCTGAAGTCTGCGAGAGAAGTCCACATTTACATGACTTTTTATTATTTTTTGGACGAATAATGGTAAATTTGCTTTGCAAATGGTTATAGTTTATTTTGATAAATTGCTTTTCACATTGTTTTGATGTCTGCATCGGATATTCATCATCGTGAGAAAGGCTAATTATATGCTCAATTTGCAATAATTGGAATTTTTGCCTATAGTACAAAACTTTACCTTGTCCACACTTTTCTTCCCCTTTGTTTCCTTTTTCTTCCTTTTGCTTTTCAACATTTCCTCTTCATCAGAATCAGTTTGCATATTTTCTTCACTTTCGTCAGCCTCATCTGTTTCTGGTTCCAGTACGTCATCATCTGAGTCCTCGACTTCCAGTTCCATGTTGTCAGGCTGATAATCACTTTCTTCATCGTCAAAGCTATCTTCACTTATGTTGTCATCTGGTATGGGTAATACATTGATTGGAGTCCTTTTAGGCTTCTTGGATGAAGAAAATGAACTACAAACATGGAAATCTGCATGAAAAGTCTATATTATCAATTCTGCATTCTTCATGTTGCATGCTTAAAAAACATAGAATGGGGAAATTTATTTGGCAAAAGCTTGCTTATGAAATACAGTGCTAGAAACAATAAAATTGTTATGCCTTTAATTCCATTAGCAATCAGATAATGCAGTCAACAATCACAGCTATAACTGACAAACTCATTCCATAAATTCCTCATGTGCACAAAATGTTCGTGCTATAAAATTCACATGAAATACCAGTCTGGGATTGATAAATACAGTATATTTTTGTTTACTTGCACTTCTAAAACTGTTATAATAACTTCTTAATATTATGTTATCGCTTTTTATGACAAAATGGAGCAAAATTTGGAAGAAATTATTAATAAGCTTACCTCGCAGACAATCCACTAAACGACACCATGTTTACTTGCTGCTACTAATTCCCATCACTCAAAAGAAGGTATTGGGATACTCTTTATAAATATTATGCAAAGTACAAGTCAACAACATACACCAAAATTAGAAAATCTGACGTCATCATTGCCCTGAAATTTGTACACATATGTGACCGCCAGGCGTTAAAGGGTTAAGTGCCAGCACTCTCCCCTTGACGAGTAAAATCGTCTGGCATTAGACAGAGTAAAATCGTCTGGCGTTAGACAGAGTAAAATCGTCTAGCGTTAGACAGAGTAAAATCGTCTGGCATTAGACAGAGTAAAATACTAAAGTAGGGTCCATCAGGGTGCAATGCGACTCAATGGGTTAACTAGACACATTGGGCAGATAGGCCAGTTAACCCATTAAGCGCCAGCGCTCTCCGCCTGACGAGTAAAATCGTCTGGCGTTAGACAGAAAAAATACTCTGGCGTTAGACAGTAAAATACTAAAGTAGGGTGCATCAGGGTGCAATGCGACTCAATGGGTTAACTAGACACATGGGCAGATTAGGCCAGTTAACCCATTAAGCGCCAGCGGTCTCCCCTTGACGAGTAAAATCGTCTGGCGTTAGACAGAGTAAAATACTCTGGCATTAGACAGAGTAAAATACTAAAGTAGGGTGCATCAGGGTGCAATGCGACTCAATGGGTTAAGCACCAGCGCTCTCCCCTTGACGAGTAAAATACTCTGGCGTTAGACAGAGTAAAATACTCTGGCGTTAGACAGAGTAAAATACTAAAGTAGGGTGCATCAGGGTGCAATGTGACTCAATGGGTTAAGCGCCAGCACTCTCCCCTTGACGAGTAAAATTGTCTGGCGTTAGACAGAGTAAAATCGTCTGGCGTTAGACAGAGTAAAATCGTCTGGCGTTAGACAGAGTAAAATACTAAAGTAGGGTGCATCAGGGTGCAATGCGACTCAA